TAAGCAGGCTGCTGGCTCTTGTTCCCCTCTGTGAGGCCTCTTCATGGCCATGATGGAACTCCACAGATGGCAAAGCCAACCCTATTCAGCCCCATGGCCAGACAAGTAGGTGCTATCGAAGGCAGCAAAACAGAAATGAATAGGAAGGGAAAAGCTTTTTAAAAATCTTCCTTGATTGGCTGGGTGAGGTGGTTCACGCCTGTAATCCCGGCACTTTGGGAGGCCGAGACGGGTGGATCACCTGAGGTCAGGAGTTCAAAACCAGCCTGGCCAACGTGGTGAAACCCTGTGTCTGCTCAAAACACAAAAAAACTACCTGGGCATGATGGTGTGTCCCTGTAATCCCAGTTACTCCGGAGGCTGAGGCAGGAGAATCACTTCAACCTGAGAGGCAGAGGTTGCAGTGAGCGGAGCTCGCACCACTGCACCCCCGCCTGGGCAACAGAGCAAGACTCTATCTCAAAAACAAAAACAGAAAAACTTCTTTGATGACCTAAAAAGACCTTCCCTTTGGGGTTTCTGTAGCACCTATAATGTGTTTGACTAAATACATAAATGGGTGGTAGGTTGAAAAGAGTTCCAGGCAACTAAACTCAGTCCACTCCGTGGCTACAAATGGGATGCTGGATGACCACCCGCCATCTTGTCCATGTCTGATCTGAACACAAGAGGGTCCGAGCAGGAGGGTATGGCTGGATTTGGATCAATCCATCCCATAACTGGAGCCCAAGAGGTGGTGTGAAAGAGAGAAAAACATAGGATACTTTGAGTACTCAACCTGGGCTCTGGTAATGATTTTTCCCCTTCTTAGAAGTATAACCTTGCATAAAACATGCTCTCACAAAACTCCAGCTCTTCACCTACAGGACAGAGCAAGCACCACGTTCCTCCAGGCAATGCTTCAAGGAGCAGAAAAGGTCACAAAAGCACAGAGGAAATGGTCTTACGAGTACTGGCCACTTTCCATGCATTAGCCCTTACAACAACTATCATTATAGGTAAGGAAACAGAGGCAAGTAATTTGCCTAATGATCACACAGCTGATAGGCAGCCAGGCAGAATTTGAGTTCAGGCAGTTGTGTTCTGGAGCCCACACCTTTAATTTTATACTGTTTGTATCAAGATAGAAACTAGCATGATGCCCAGCACATTGTAGGTGATCAATAAAAGGTTAGCCCCTTCCTCTGGTCTCTCTGAAACATATAAGATTAGGCTGAGAAATTGACAGAAAAGTCTATGGGAAGGTTCTCTGAAAACCATAAAGTCTAATAACCATTTTTTTAAAAACAGCTTTTTTGAGATATAACACACAAGCCATACACTTCACCATTTACGTTGTACAATGCAGTGGGTTTTCTTACAACTTAAGAGTTGTACAACCGACACCACAAATCCACTTTAGAATATTTTCAAAAAGAAGCCCCATATCTCTAACCATAATTCCCCCTTCTCCACCTACCCCAGCCCTGGCTGCCACGAATCTACTTGCTGTCTTTAAGGGTCTGCTTATTCTGGACATTTAAATGGAATCACAAAATACACGGCCCTTTATGATGCTTTCTTCCCACTCAGCCCTCTTTCCAGACTCATCCATGTTGTGGCACACCTCAGAATGCTGTTCCTTCATATTGCCAAAGAACATTCTATTTGGCATTCAATGTATCTACTTGCTTCATAGACTGTTAGACCAAGAAATAACTTTACGGAGACTGAGCCCAACTACCCTTCATTTTACTGAAAAAGAGATTGTGTTGCTGAGACTACACAGCCTAGCCCAGGTCACTCAGCTCAGAACCCAGCCTCGAGCCTTGCAACCCTCCACACGGTCCCATCTTACTGCACCCCTCAGAGCATTACTGGAAAGATAAAGTGCAAGCCTTATTGATGATGGGCCAGCAGAATCATCTCTGCCGGTATTAGTCCAACACCATTCAGTCACCAAAAAATATAGACTGTGTGCAAGGCACTGTAGGAGGTGCTGAGGACCCAAGAGGGAACAGGACAAGATCTCTGCCCTTCCTCTCAGAGTGTACACTCTCCTGGGGAAACAGAAATAGATCAGTAGCTCCCTAGATAATAAAATCATTGCATGTTGTACTAAGTGCCATGAAAGAAACAAAGAAGGGCCAGAGGAGGAAGAGGACGTAGAGGAGGGTGGTATTGCAGGGAGAATAGGGTGAGGATAAAAGGACCCAGTGCGCAGAGGGTCACAGGTTACTAGAGAAGGCCTGTTTTAGGCATTTAGGCTGAGGCCAGGAGGAGAAGAACGTCATCAATATCTGGAGGAAGAAGGTGCCAAAGAGAGGGCATAGCATGTGTAAAGATGCTGGGAAGACAGGGAAAGAGCTTGTTGTGTTGAAGTGGTTTTTGTTTTTTGTTTTTGAGATGGAGTTTTGCTCTTGGTGCCAGGCTGGAGTGCAATGGTGCCATCTCGGCTCACCGCAACCTCTGTCTCCCGGGTTCAAGCAATTCTCCTGCCTCAGCCTCCCAAGTAGCTGGAATTACACGCATGCGCCACCATGCCTGACTCATTTTGTATTTTTAGTAGAGACGGGTTTTCTCCAGTGAACTTCCAACACCAGGTGATTCACCTGCCGCAGCCTCCCCGAGTGCTGGGAGTACAGGCATGAGCCACCACACCCAGCCTGTGTTAAGTTTAATAGGAGCAGAAAGAGCGAGCAAGTGGTGTGACTGAAGGCTCGAGAAAGCAGGCCCACCTTACAGTAGAGGCTCATTGGCCTGTTCCCTCGTGACTACACTCTCAGAGCTAACCATGACTAGGCGGACCCGTGAGAAAGTGCATTCGTGGGTTCCAGTTCCTTCCTGTGAATAAAATAAACTCCACTTGCCACAGGAAGCTAAAGGAAGTCCTGAGTCTCTATAGCAAAGACTTCCAAGGAAGGGAGAATTGCGTCTTAGGTAAGGGTGATGAAACTATGTATCATCCTGGGGGTGAATCAGGAGATAAGGAAAGCAAGGAGAAATGAGAAAATAGAGGCATATGAACAGAGAAGTGGTTAAACGATTATGGTGTAGCTACATAATGGAACACAATTGGCAAGAAGAAAGGAGTTCACTTTCAGTACTGATGTAGAAAGTTCTCCAATTTGTTAAGCAAAAAAAGCAAGGTGCAGAACTGTGTGCTCAGTATGTTCCCATTAGTAAGAGACAGTATGTCTTTTGCAATGTATGAATGCAAGCTCTCTAGAAAGGATACACATACAATGTGTCTAGGAGGAGTTTCCTTGTTTCTGTATCCCCCAGGAGATGTGCACTTCAGAAGGGGGCCTTTCACTGTCTCCTCCACTAGGTGGAAACACACGAGTGTATTTCCTGTTCAAATAAATGAAAATGAAGACAAAAACAAGCCAGGTGCGGTGGCTCACGTCTGAAATCCCAGCACTTTGGGAGGCCGAGGTAGGCAGAACATGAGGTCAGGAGTTTGAGACCAGCCTGGCCAACATGGTGAAACTCCATCTATACTAAACACATAAAAATTAGCCAGACATGGTTAGTGCACGCCTGTAACTCTAGCTACTCGGGAGGCTGAGGCAGGAGAATTGCTTGAACTTGGGAGGCGGAGGTTGTAGTGACCCAAGATCGTGCCACTGCACTCCAGCCTGAGTGACAGAGCAAGACCTCGTCTCAAAAATAAATAAAAAGAAAAAAGAAAACGAAGAAAAGCCAATGAGGGGGTCTAGATCTACCAACCAAAGCCATGTGTGTTCCAGCCTCTCCTGCCCCTCGTCCTCTGCCAGCCTGAACCTCAGAGATGCCTCCTCACCCTCCTAGGGAACTTCTGAGCAGCCACTGGTCCCTGGTCTAGATTTCACTACCGGTTGTAATGGTGGTTGTGATGGTCTGGTGACCAAATAAATTATCCCAAAGAGTCTACAATTAATTCCAATTCCCAGATGTGAATAACCAAAGCATCTCCCTCAAGAGGCACCTTAGGGTGAATAAACAAGTTAATAATTATCAAATGGATACTGGATTCCAACTAAGTATCCAGCGCCTTGGGAGTGTCAATCAGTGTGAATGAGGAGAGTGTGGCTCTGTAACTCAGAGTCCTTTCTCTCCCTCTCCAGGTTTCTCAGCCTGGGTGCTGCTGACTCTTTGGCCTGGAAAATTCTTTGCTGTGGGGGCTGCTTTGTGCATTGTAGGATGTTGGCAGCCTCCCTGGCCTCTACCCACCAGATGCCAGTAGCACCCACCCCACTAGCTGTGACAACAGAAACTGTCTCCAGACATTACCAAATGTCCCCTTCGAGAACCACTGTTCTCATCACTGCATTTTCAGGTAACGGCTTCGTTCTCTCCCCCATCAGGAGCTGGCGAGCTCTCCTCTGCCTGTACCCCAGGTGGGCTGCCACAAAGGCTGAGGGATTGACGGAACCTTCATTGTGAATTTCCCTGAATTTCGTATGTGGCAACCAATCCTAACTTTCTGGTAACCTCTTCTGTCTCAGGGAAAACAGTAATCTCAGACTTTATAAAATAATGATCTGTGGACAGGAGTCTCTCCCACGACTACAAGGCCCAGACAATTAAAAGGCACCCCTGTGCAGGTTGATAACAAAAGCAGAACACATACAGGCTGGCCAGATCCTACTTGAAGGCACTCCAAGATGCAGGGATGAGGGAGCCCAGGGGAGCCAAGGCCACTTCCTCCTCCTCCAGGTCACAGAAAAAAAAGCAGTGAGGCACCATGAAGGTGCTCATGGAGTCATTTTGTAACCAGCAGGGTGGACAGGTAGGTGAGCTGGCCTCGTCTCTCCTCCCTCTCTCAAGGTCATAACTCCCCACGGACAGCTTTCTTCGGTGCGGGGGGCAAAGATGAAGGGACTGTATTTCTATGTTTTGATTAATCCGAGGCTCATCCCTGAGGGCTCTGAGAAATGAATGAGCAGAATTTTCCATGGCCAACTGTCCTGGCTGATGGGTCCTATCGGCAAAAGCGTAGTGTTTATTTACTTTTGCTCGTGTTATTTTTATTCCAGTTCAGCTGCAGCTCAGTGCGGAAAGCGTGGGGGAGGTGTATATAAAGAGTACCGAGACTGGCCAGTACTTGGCCATGGACACCGACGGGCTTTTATACGGCTCAGTAAGTATGAAGCTGACACGCTTCCAGACGCGGCCAAGGTTTGAGGTTTCCAGAAATCTTGTTACACGGAGTGAGGCAAACTATAAAGCAACAATTAGTCTCTGTTTGTTATTTTTTCCAGAAGGATTCCCACCCTCACCCTGCCTTATTTTAGGCACAAACATAAAAGAGTTTCTTGCGGTGTTCTCTCAAAACACTCAAATGTATTATCATATAAACACAGAGGAAAGATTGATTGATGTCTCGGTAACTCCTCAGTCACTCATTTTAGAATATCTTAATCCCATTCCATTCATTCATTCATTCCACAAATGTTATTCTTTTTTTTTCTGTGAGACAGTCTGGCTCTGTCACCCATGCTGGAGTACAGTGGCGCAATCATGGCTCACTGTAGCCTCCAACTCCTGGGCTCAAGCGATTCTTCCACCTCAGCCCCCTGAGTAGCTGGGACTACCGACAAACACCACCAGGCTCGGTTAATGTTTTTATTTTTTGTAGAGACAGAGTCTCACTATGCTGCTGAGGTTGGTCTCAAACTCCTGGGCTCAGCCTTCCAAAGTGCTGAAATTATAGGCCACCACACACAGCCCAAAAGTGTTTCCTGAGTATGTAGGCACTATGTGCTATAGGCGTGTCTCTTGTTGCTTTTTACACAAATGGCAGAGCCTGGGCTTTCGTAGGTTATATGTCATGCATAAAAATTTGAAAATAGCCCCCCCACCTTTTTTTTGAGATGAAGTTTCGCTCTTGTCACCCAGGCTGGAGTGCAGTGGTGCAATCCGCAATCTCGGCTCACCACAATCTCCGCCTCCCGGGTTCAAGCAATTCTCCTGCCTCAGCTTCCCAAGTGGCTGGGATTACAGACATGCACCACCACGCCCCGCTAATTTTGTGTTTTTAGTAGAGACGGGGTTTCTCCGTGTTGGTCAGGGTAGTCTCCAACTCCCGACTTCAGGTGATCCACCCGCCTCAGCCTCCCAAAGTGCTGGGATTAGAGGCGTGAGCCACCGCGCCCGGCCTGTCCCTTTTATTCTGAAAGGATCACCTAAAAGGACAGAAAGCTTAATAACTTATTTCAACATTTATCAAATGTCTGGTGTCTACATTCCATATTAGGTACTGAAAGGATGTGAGGTTGAATGAGCCACATAGAGAGGTGCAGTCTCACTGTTTCTTCAGTAGCTGAAATCCTCCATGTTCCCTGCTCTTTCCCTGTCATAGCTAATGCTTTACATAGGCTTGACAGAGTATAGATTGGTCTTGATGGGAAAGGAATAGAAATAGAAGCAATGTAATTTTCCCCTGTTTGTATCTCTGCGATAAGAGTTACCTGGAGAGACAGCTTACACCAATGACCGCAGGATGTGAAGTTATTTCTAGGTTTTAATGATCCCTCCTCTGTATCCTGATAAACCAAGGCTTGGCTATAATTCCTGACCCAATCCACACCCTTTCCTCCCTTTTATGAAGATGTCTTCAAAAAGGCAGCCAGTAGCGGGGATTTTAGTCTGGAGCTTCAACTTATATTAAACTGCCAAGTGACAGAGGGCACAGGAAACCCTGTCTTGCAGTTGTCATCTCAGCCAAGGGTCCAGATGAGCACAGTTCCATTTCCTCTCGATGCCTGCTAGGGGTCAGGAGATGAAATCCTCAGGGTCACAGGTAACCTCTAAAGTATGCTATATGCTCAGTCCAGATCACCTGGGATGGCTTTGAGGGTTTTGGAGCCGAGGCACCAACTGCTGCATGGGGAGTAAGGGTTTTGCTGTCGTTGTTACTGTTGTTGAGATGGAATTCACTCTTGCTGCCCAGGCTGGAGAGCAATGGTGCGATATTGGCTCCACCTCCTGGCTTCAAGTGATTCTCCTGCCTCAGCCTCCCAAGTAGCTGGGATTACAGGCATGAGCCACCACACCCGGCTAATTTTGTATTTTTAGTAGAGATGGAGTTTCTCCATGTTGGTGAGGCTGCTCTCAAACTCCCAACCTCAGAAGATCCGCCTGCCTCAGCCTCCAAAGTGCTGGGATTACAGGTGGGAGCCACCACGCCCAGCCTAGGGTTTTTTTTAAAGGTACTTCTTTCAAGTGGTAGTAAAAATCAATCCGTCAACCAATCATTCAGTCTCAGACTCGTGATTGAATCACATGCCTTTGCCACTCTGGCAAGTCACTCACCCACTCTGAGCCTTGTCTAAAATGGGGCTGGTCATGACCATAACCGCCTCACACAGAGCGTACGTGGGTTCAGTGGAGCGACACACAGAATGCGCCCATCAGCGTGGCTGGCATGTCACAGACATGTGGTGACTATAAGACAAGTCATCAGCTTAGAAGCCCCTCACCCTCGCTGTGTCTTAGGTTATGCCACAGTTTTAAGGCTTTAAAGGCTTTTCCCCATTTAAATCAATTTTGATGTTTATTACAAACTGCTTTTACTTATATAAAAAGACCGAGGGAGAACTCCCAGAATCTAATTTCTGATAGGCTCCAGGCACCCCCTTCTCCCACCATAGCTGTGGACATCACTGCAATTCACCTGAAATACAGTCTTACTATACTATGCCTAAGAATGTTTGCATTTTCCCCATTGATAAAGAGAAGTTCTACGATATCTCAAAGCTCTGCTTCATGCTCTTCACAAAATTTAGGCACTAATCCATCCTGATTCAAATTTATGTGTGTGGAAAGGATATACTTATTTTTAAAAATTTGAAAGGCTATATATCAAAATATTAATATAATAATCTTTGGGGGTCAGGAATAGGTGATTTTATAATATGTGAATGCCTTTCTCTATTTTATAATTTTTTTTTACAGTCAGTCTACATCATCTATGTAATTTGGGGTGGGAGGGGAAACATGCTAAATATAAAAAAGAACACAATTTAAACAATAGGCATGAATCAACAGTTAACCCACATGTCCTTAGCATTGTACCAAGTCCATGACGAGTGCTGACAAATCCTTGTGGAGGGATGGAGCACCACTGATCTGGCCTGCTGACTCAGCCTGTGACTCAGCTATTTTGTGTGTGTCAACTGCTCCAGCGTAATAGAGACATCAGGTTGGGAATAGGATGGCCATCCTCATCTTCGTCACAGAACACAGGCCTGATGCCCACTGCGAGGTGTCATGGGGTGAGTCCCCCCTACAAGGGAGTGGGCAACCCACATAGGTCCAGACTGCCTACCTCCTTCTACCCCCAACAACGTGCATCAAGCACAAACGTCTGGACCAAGTTCCTCTAGAGACAGCAGAGTCATCCAATTAAATATTATATTTATACCTCATCTTGTTCCAAAAGGATCTAAAGTGTCTCAGCCAGTTGTCATTTCACAAGATCATGAATGAATAAGAAGCAAGATATTTCCTGTTACACAGTTCCTTATTAAGAAAGGCTGACTCTACTGACTGCTTTATCTTATCTCAAGAATCAAATTAAAGGCATTACTTAGCTGGTGAGCACCTATTATTTGCAAGGTTCTGTGTCTGGGGGATAGAGAGAAGACCAACAAGATTCCATGTCCTTCCTCACTAGGTTTTATCACCTAAAGAAACAAACATGCTAACACATAGAAAACAATGAACAATATGATTGAAAACCACCAGAAAGGGAATCACTCCACCATTGTGGGTGAAGAGAGACTGCAGAGGTCACTCGACTTGGAAAAGGCAAAGCAGGCCAGGCGCAGTGGCTCACGCCTATAATCCCAGCACTTTGGGAGGCCGAGGCGGGTGGATTATGGGGTAAAGAGATCGAGACCATCCTGGTCAACATGGTGAAACCCAGTCTCTACTGAAAATACAAAAATTAGCTGGGCATGGTGGCGCACGCCTGTAGTCCCAGCTACTCAGGAGGCTGAGGCAGGAGAATTGCTTGAACCCAGGAGGTGGAGGTTGTGGTGAGGCAGAGGTTGTGGTGAGCTGAGATCGCACCATTGCACTCCAGCCTGGGTAACAGGAGCAAAACTCTGTCTCAAAAAAAAAAAAAAAAAAAAAGAAAGAAAAAGACAAAGTCAGATGTCTTATTTCCCAGCATAAGTGTTTTAATATACCTGTTTTAGACCCAAATGTAATAAATATTTTCTAAGATCTTGACAAATAGAAAGTTTAAAATCTGAGTTCCCCATCCCATCAACAGATTAACTACAAGTAAACAAAATAGTGGTTGCTAGCTGTTTTTTTCAAGTAAGTATACTCTTTAATATGCTGTGGCTGATTTCCAGCTTAAGAAGTTTACAGCTGCACTGAATTCTACGGTATGGATGTTCTTTCATCCACTTAACCAATTAGCTTTCCATGGACGTATGGGTTACTCCCAGTCTCTTGCCCTTATAACCACTGGTTCACAAACTATCTCCAAAGATATAGTTGTACACTTGTTCAACCATCTCCTAGGGGTAGATTCCTAGAAGTGAAATTGCTGCATCAAAGGTAATGCATATTGTAAATTGTGATATATATTGCTAAACTACCTTCAAAAAGTTTCCACTAATTTATCTCACCAACTGTGCATGGCACTGCCTAGTTCTCACATTCTAGGTCTTGCAATTTTTTTTTTTAATCTTTGCACATAGGATAGCTAATATATGATAAATAATTTGTAATTTGCATTTTTCTTGTTAGCAATATTGAATGTTTTCATAGGTTTGTTGTTCATTTTTAAAACATCAAATGAAACATGACATTTTGATAAGATCATAAGTCTACATCCACATAGCCTCATCTATTCTGTGTGTACATAAAGAGACGTAGGAAAGAATGTTCATCAGCGATTAACAGTCGCCTGTGTCTGGGTGACAGGCTTTGGGGTAGTTTTTTCTTTTTTACAAAGTAAAGGTATGTTTTTAAAAGTACAATTCTTCTTATAAGTAGCATTTTTATTACTCTTTAGAGACAGGGTCTCACTCTTGTCACCCAGGCTAGAGTGCAGTGGTACAATCCTAACTCACTACAGCCTCAAACTCCTGGACTCAAGCAATCCTCCTACCTCAGCCTCCTAAGTAGCTAGGATGACAGGTACATACCACAGCACCTAGCTAATTTAAAAAAAAAAAATTTTTTTTTTTTTTTAGAGATGGGTGGGGTCTTGCTTTGTTGCCCAGCCTGGCCTCAAATTCCTGGGCTCAAGCAATCCTCCTGCCTCAGCCTCCCAAAGTGTTAGGATTATAGGCATGAACTACCGTGCCTCGCTACAAGTAGTATCTTTTCATAAGATTCTTTTTATAAGTAGCAAAAAATAAAGCTATTTCCATTTTTAAAAAATATTTAAATGCTAGGATATGTTTCGTGCTTAGGATAAATTCTGCACAAGCATATTTTTGTAACAATACTGAGGTGAAATCCTGGCAATGTGACTGAAAATCACCAGGATAAGAGGGCATTTTCGCAGCTTTTCATTTATTCTTTAAGTCTAGTCTTCATGTTTAAAAAAAAAAAAACACTACCTCACAGTCTGGTTTTTACCTATTTTGAATGTTTTTCCACAGTCACGCCTGTGTGCCAGGCCACTACAGAGATGAAAGAGCCAGCCCTGCCCTCAAGGTTCTTATAGTTGAGCAGGATGTCCCCAGTGGGAGATTCTAGAGTCCTGAGGACTCTTTGAAGTGGCCTCATAAGTAGCATCTTGATTACTTTAAAATGGATCTTAAATGGAAAGGGAGTTTACAATAATAGCAAATGCATATTGAAGGCTCTTTAGTACCAGGTACTGTTCTAAGTCCTTATGACTACCCTCCTGAAATAAGTCCCACCATGACCCCAATCTTCCTGAAGAGGAGACTGAAGCATGGAGATTGATTCATATGATAAAAAGTATGGACTATTATAAATATCTTAGATTCCCTCTCTGGGTATCTTCTTCTGGCCAGATTTTCATACTAAAGAGATGTTAAGCCACACGTCATTTTCTCTAACCTGCCTGTAAAGATTTACTAAAATAAAAGAGATTCATCTTATCCAAGTTAAAAAAACAAAAAAGTTATGAAATCATTTTGCTGCACAAATCTAAAACGCTATTATTAACCATAACGTCAACTTAGGTCAAATCTTCAATTGCACTATTGCTTTGAACATTCACAAATTGTCATTTTCCTTCCATGGAAATGTCCCCAAATCAATGAACTAGAGCCTGTTCAAAACAGAGCCGAGAACTACCAACATCTTCCTTCTGTCAAGATCTGACAGGTTCTTGCCTGGTTTGAAAGCAGTCCCCCTGAAGCTGACCCGATTCTAAAGTTGAAAATGTTAAGTTTACCCTGCTATGTCCTCTGACATTTTGATAGGGCTTTATTTGATGCTGGAGATTGCTGATTCTTCCAGAAGAATTGCCCAATGTCACACAGCTAGTAAATGGGGACTCCCATGTCAAGCCACTCACTAATTGTCCTACTCTCTTTTGGTTTTGTCTTTTTAGCAGACACCAAATGAGGAATGTTTGTTCCTGGAAAGGCTGGAGGAGAACCATTACAACACCTATATATCCAAGAAACACGCAGAGAAGAATTGGTTTGTTGGCCTCAAGAAGAATGGAAGCTGCAAGCGCGGTCCTCGGACTCACTATGGCCAGAAAGCAATCTTGTTTCTCCCCCTGCCAGTCTCTTCTGATTAAAGAGATCTGTTCTGGGTGTTGACCACTCCAGAGAAGCCTTGAGGGGTCCTCACCTGGTTGACCCAAAAATGTTCCCTTGACCATTGGCTGCGCTAACCCCCAGCCCACAAAGCCTGAATTTGTGAGCAATGTGCTTCTAAATGCCCAGTTCACTTCTAGCAGAGCCCTTTACCCCTGCACAGTTTGGAAAGGAGGGACCAAATTGCTTCAAGGGGCAAACTGGCTGGCCAGTCTGGGTCTGGGGTTGGATGTCCAATTGCCTCTTACAGGCCGACTCCCTCATTGCAAAGGTGGGGCCAAATGAAGTGTGTGAAGGGTTCTGCTAAGTGGGGCGTTCGTAATTTCCCTCTACTGAGTAAACCCTGCCTATGACTCCCCCAAACACCTTTCGTCCTTTCTGTGCCCTACAAACATTAGCCAAGAAGCTTCATGCCAGGTTAGGAAGGCAGCATTCCATGACCAGAAACAGGGACAAAGAAACCCTCACTTGAGAACAGAAGGATTGAAAATGGAAAGGGGAAATTGGGTTTTGGTGGATAACTTAGAAGGATGACATCTCCATGTAGAATAAATGAAGATGGGGAGGCCCAGCCACCGGAAGGCAGAATAAATCCTTGGGAGTCATGACCATGCCTGGACCTTCCCAAGATTACTCAGCAGCAGAGAGCCCTGGTCCATCAGATGGGGAGCATTAGCAGTGGTTTCTTGATAAAAGCAAGGACATCAGAGCTGGGAAATTCATGTGGGTCTGGGGAGTGAGTGTGGGAGGGGAAAGATAAGGGAAACTTGCTGAGGGGATATCACAAAAAGGATGATTGCAGAAGCGAGAAGGAAAGAAAGTCATGCCGCACACGGTGCTTGGCCACCGGTGAGCGGACGCTTTGGGGTCCTAGCCCAGTGCTTGTCCGACACTGAAGTGCTTGCAGATCATCTGGGGACCTGGTTTGAATGAAGATTCTGACTCAGTGGGTGGGGGCAGAATTTCCACAGTTCCATCAGGCTCCCAGGTGCAGGTGCTGAGGATACTGCTGCCTTCCCCGCCAAACGTTAAGCAGCAGGGTCCTGGTCCTAAAGAGTGTTACTCAAATGAAGGCGGTTCAAATCCCCACACCTCACCTGACCTCCACTCACCCTTAAAAACACACCTCACCAGTCTATCTGAGCATTCAGGCAGCACTGATAATACTTATACCTGAACTAAGGAGCATGATTTTAAGATGCTTTGGCCCAATGCCTATAAAATGCCCATTTCAAAGATACACAAAAGCGTACTTCAAAAATGTTAAAGCCTCACCAACAGCTTTTCCCAATAGACCATTTGTATTACCATTACTTGCATAAATAGGCTTCCTGCTTAAAGTAAACTTGACTCAAGTGGCTAGCAAATTAGAAACACCGTTCCTCTCTAACATATGATACTGATGCCATGTAAAGGGCTTTAATAAGCCATTGAAATTTACTGTGAGACTGTATGTTTTAATAGCATTTAAAAATATATAGCTTGAAAGCAGTTAAACTGATTAGTATTCAGGCACTGAGAATGATAGTAATAGGATACAATGTATAAGCTACTCAATTATCTGATACTTAACATTTGCCTGTAAAATGAGATTTTTGTTTTCCACTGCCACTACTACAAATTTTCTCTTGAAAGTAAAACTCTTAAGCAATGATAATTTTGGATAAAAATTGATGAGAGTGTTAGCTTATGTTTCATAGGAAATTGAAGTAATTGTTAATTAAAAACAATTCCTTAGTAACTGAACTGTCATTACTTAGAATGGAAGGAAAACGACCATTTGTGAATGTTCAAAGCATAGCAATTGAAGAACTGACCTAAGTAAGTTGACATTATGGTTAATAATAGTATTTTAGATTTGTGCAGCAAACTGATTTCATCATTTTTTTGTTTTTGTAACTTAGATAAATCTCTTTTTATTTTAGTAAATCTTTGAGGGCAGGTTAGAGAAAATGAAGTGTGGCTTAACATCTCTTTAGTATGAAAATTTGGCCAGAAGAAGATACCCAGAGAGGGAATCTAAGATATTTATAATGGTCCATATTTTTTATTGTATGAATCAAACTCAAGCATAATGTTGGCCAAGGATAATTAAATGCCATTGCTAACATGTAAAATGGAAGTCTGCAATTTCAAAGATGTAAAGCACTGTCGTAAAAACATCAATGTGACCTCGACCATCTCAGCCCAGATATCATTCATGTAACTGTTCAATTACTATTAAGTTGCCTACTGTGTGCTAGGCACTGTACTGGGTTCTGGGGCCCCTAGGGACCTTGTCTGTCTGGTTTGCTGCTGTATCTTCTCCCGGGGCATTATATTTATGATGAAAGATGCTGTGTATTCAATTCTTTCAGTCAAGAATAAACACAGACTTTGTAGGTTCCTGCTGAATAAATGGCAAATCCCAGAAACCCAGATTTTGGAAGAATTAGCAACCTCCAGCATAAAATAAACCCCTATCAAAATGTCAGAGGACATGGCAAGGTACACTATAGAAGGACATGGCAAGGTAAGCAACCGGGTCAGCTTCAGAGGGACTGCTTTCAAATCAGGCAAAGAACCTGTCAGATCTTGTCAGAAGGAAGAGGTTGGTAGTTCCCTGCTCTGTTCTGAACATACTCTAGTTCATTAACCTGGGGACATTCCCACGGCTGTCTTCCTTAAGTAAGTCTCGTAGCCAGCTCCTGTCATGTGCCTCTCATGTGGACTCATTTTCGAGTCAGCTCTGAACAAAGCATCATGAACATATGCGCTTTTGGTTGTTTGCAATGTGATGGTGGTGGAGGGAGGTACTGGTTTCCTTGGAAGCCATAAGAAAGATCCCTATGGCCAACAGTGTGTATGAACAAAAAACTGATTGGAGCATCAGCTGTTACTGAAGGTCCTTGCTTTGTGTCAGAGGCAAACGAGCCCAAGTCACCAAGTCCTCAGCCTTGAGTGTCCTGCTGACAACTAAACTCACAGGCTACAAAGCAGACCTCTGAAGAAGACTCTTGTCATTTCACATCACTGTCTTTTTGTATCATAGTCTGCACCTTACGAATATTAATAAATGTTCCATTAATCAGTGATAATGTGTCTTGAGTTTCTGAGCATCCTGCTTCCTCATCTTTCTGTCAAAGGACTTCCCAAGCAATCCCTGAGATGTGGCTACTTAGTTTTCTGTTACTGGATATCAGACTTTAAAGGCTAACAGGGAATGTGAAGGTAGAAACATTTTTCAATGTTTTTGGAAACAGAAGGCAGTATGGATGATTTTCTGATTTTCTACGTTTCTGTTAGGGAAATATACATATACAGGAAATTTGCCTCCTGTGGAGCCAGGCACCATAAATAACTCAGGTGAAACTTTTTCTTAACATCAGCCATGTAGAATTATATTATTGTTGAGGTGACTGGCTGTTTTTTTGTTTTGTTTTCTTTTTTCAGGCAAAGATATTACAACCTGAGACAGAGGTGTGTGTGTGTGTGTGTGTGTGTGTGTGTGTGTGTATTTTTTTTTTTTTTTTTTTGGTAGGGGGACAGAGTTTTGCTCTTGTTACCCAGGCTGGAGTACAATGGAGCAATTTCAGCTTACCAAAATCTCCGCCTCCCAGATTCAAGCAATTCTTCTGTCTCAGCCTCCCGAGTAGCTGGGATTACAGGCATGCACCACCACACTTGGCTAATTTTTTTGTATTTTTAGTAGAGACGGGGTTTCTCTGTGTTGGTCAGGCTGGTCTCAAACTCCCGACCTCAGGTAATCTGCCCACCTCGGCCTCCCAAAGTGCTGGCATACAGGCATGAGCCACCACACCTGCCCCCCCCCACCAAAAAAAAACCATTTAAGGACTCATTTATAATTTGAAGTCAACGGCAAGAGGGTGGATCTATTCATCTTAAGAGCCCTGATACGGAGCTATAGATTTGCTGCTCAGATCTTCTAAATTATCATTCTAAGCAGAGTTTCCTTAAATAAGCCTCTGGATCTTAAGACATCTTATTCTTAGGAGGAAGTATGCTGCTGCCTAGCACATCATGCGAAATCACACACACATGCACACACACAGACGCACACACATCACCTAAAGAAAAAGCTGGGCAGTGTGTTCTCACTCTGCTAATTACATACCACAATATTGGTATACCACACTCAATCCCTTCTTTCCCTTCTAACATTGCCTAAAGCAGTGTTTTTCTACTTTTTAGATCTTGCTCCACCGTAAGAACTACATTTTCCATAACAACCAGGCACATATATACGGTTATACATACACACAACGGAAGCAAAAACTTCACAAAACTAGATGAGATGCACTTTGATTTTTCTGTTACATTCCACTAAAACACACTGGTCAAACATGATTCAAATTGGTTCACAACATTCATGGGTCACAACTGCAGTTTGAAAACCACTGACTTAAAGCGACTGTTCTTCCCAAAGATGGAGAGACCCAATGAGGATCTTGTGTTATGACTTTAGTGTTTTCAAAGACACAGTTTGTTCTTGAGTAAACAAGAGGGGACATCCTGTTACCCAGGAACCATCTGTTTTGAAGCCTCTGTTAATTCTTTTAGCCAGGCTTGCTGCTAATCATGCAAAATGAACGTAATGGAACAGATTCCATGGGCGCCCACTGCTGCCTGCAAGGCTGGTCTAGCAGATTTTTCTGCTCTTGGAAGCCCTGGAGACTGTGACCCCTCCCCCTCCTTTGGAATTCTCATCACTTTGGGTCTTGAGGTCATTCCCTCCCTAACTCCCACAGTCTTCACTTCATTCCTCTTTGTTGCCTCCTCCACCTCCCTACCAATTCCTAGTTCTTAACCATTTCTCACGAAAACATAAAAAGTAGATAGAACTGAGAAAGGGCTATAACCTGGGGCCTCTATGCATCTTCCTCAGCTCCCATCACTCTCTGGAAATGATCCTCTCTGCTTATCTACCTTTTAAAAAGTGTGTCATTCCTCTCAGAGTCATAAGCTAAACACCACTGCTGCTGGAATGCAGCTGATACAGGGATCTAAAATGTTCATTTTGGCTGAACCAACTAAACAAAGTAACTCTATGTCTTGAATAGCTGGTGGGGTGCGGGTGGCTGAGAATGGCCCGCCTGTCAGAGAACTTGACCACAAAGAGAAAAATATAAGCATAGTCTTCACTTTTCACATTAGCTGAGTGATGTCCTATTTATCATGGGGTGGGAAGGGAGGAGGAATCTCAAAACCGAAGCACTCTTGGGTTATTGTTATATTAGCTAGCATGGTAGTCGCAGCACACCAAACAAAAATGTGCTGTCAACTACACTTTCACAAATTAACAAAAAATATTTTTAGAAGCAGTAGTGACAGTATGGAAATATTTAAAGCCCAACTGAGCAGTGGGACTTGTATGTTCTCCATTTCAAAATGACTAGGGATGATTTGTTTGACGACCATTAAAATGGAAATAATGGCTAGTAAAAAGTGGCACCCCCTTCTTTTGAATCCACTCCTTAAAGCTGTCCTCTGCCCCCAGGAAAAAAATCTGTTTGCCATTGTACATAAATATACGCTAAAATCGACAAAGAGACTTCAGAGCTTTAGGCCTGGGGATCTGACTTTAGGGACTCCAGACCCCAGTGATTCAACTACTGTTCTCGCAACATACAAGGGAAATGTACTAAATGACTACTGGAATCTTTCTGCAACGTTGGACCCACTTTGCGGTTGACATATTGACCATGACACACTACACTGTTAGCTTTCCACCCTAGTTATAAAATTAAAAAGAGAAACCAGGTCACACACAGCCTGAAGCCAGAGGGTGGGTTTGCTTTATAAAATACACGTATTTTAGGACCTAGCTTTGGGGTCTTCCGATGGTTCTGAGAATGTTTGTGATGTGGGAAGGAGGTATTTCCCAAATTGCCTCCTTCCTTCTTAGCTCCCCACTGTCACGCAGGCTAAATTTACACATGCAGCAGCTAAACATTGGTGTCTGTTTTATTACATAAACAAGTAAAACCTCACATGTCCTCGATGTGCTTTTCTATCAGCCTTAATGAAGGGTTGGGCACTCCGTTTGGAACTGTGTCAATTTAAGGATTTTGTTCACTTGGGAAAAGTGTCTGGGGATAGAGATGTCAACAGTCAATTTGTGCCAATTGTCACAGAGACATCCTTCATTGTGATTTTCACGTTACATGTTTTCTTGCCTTAGGAAATTTTTTTTTTAAGTCTGACCCATAGACACATAAGAATAAGATGTCGGATTATTTTCTAATATGGCTTGTTCTCCAAAATAAGTTATAGGAGCATATTACATACTACCTTGTTTTATGTGGAGTAGAAACACAAGACTGTTGAGAGCCTGGGAATATCAACTGTATTAAGAGTTCAGGAACTTCCCGTGGAAACAAATAGTAAAATCTATTGCATTCGCAAAATAGAATACCTGCATTAGGGACAACACTACTGACTCAGTAAAAGTGCAGAGAGTGAATGGATGCTGCATTTCCAGACGGATTTTTGTTACTCACGGACCAGGAGACTCCCAGGTGGACAGAGGAGCCCCACGGGTCGCCAGCGTGACTCTTTTGGCCGACGCCGCTGTTTTGCCAGCATCCCAGTGCAGCCAGTGTCCCAGGGCAGCAGTTCTCAATGCAGAATATACGGGACTGGGTGCCCTTTTGGTTGGCATTTGGAGCTCCAGGAAGGCAGAGTCGCCCATTTAGCTGATTGAAGAGGGGACTGAAACAGGGAGCCAGGCCAGAAGATTCCTGGGCAAAAAGCGCCACGAATTTCAATGCCTTCAGCCAGCGCAGTGGGTCACCGCATGGGAAATCACACAGATCCTGGCACCTTTTCAACAGGTGGCTGGAATACCAAGGAGAGAATCGACCATTCAACAACAACAACAACAAAAAAAGGCTCTGAGGCAGGGAGCCAGGTAATCAGGTTCCGCTGGTCTACTCCCACGAAAAAACAGCAGTTGGAAACGCTGTGGGTTGAGAGTTTCACAGCAAGCACAGCTGAACCCGGGAAGGTCCAGCTCTGTGGAGGAGGAGCCTCACCAAAGGAGTACTAAGAAACAGAAATAACGTCATCAACAACAAACTGGACGTCCACTCAGAGACTCAATCTGAAAGTCAGCAACTACAAAGACGACAGGTGGATAAATCCACAAAGATGGGAAGAAAACAGTGCAAAAAGGCTAAAAATACCCGAAATCAGAATGCCTCTCCTTCTACAAGGGATCACAACTCCTCACCAGCAAGGGAACAAGGCCTGATGGAGAATGAGTGTGATGAATTGACAGCATCAGGCTTCAGAAGGTGGATAATAAGAAACTTCTGGCCGGGCACGGTGGCTCAAGCCTGTAATCCCAGCACTTTGGGAGGCCGAGGCAGGCGGATCACGAGGTCGAGAGATCGAGACCATCCTGGTCAACATGGTGAAACCCCATCTCTACTAAAAATACAAAAAACTAGCTGGGCGTGGTGGCGCGTGCCTGTAATCCCAGCTACTCAGGAAGCTGAGGCAGGAGAATTGCCTGAGCCCAGGAGGCAGAGGTTGCGGTGAGCCAAGATCGCGCCATTGCACTCCAGCCTGGGTAACAAGAGTGAAACTCCGTCTCAAAAAAAAAAAAAAAAAAAAACTTCTGTGAGCAAAAAGAACTTATTCTAACCCAATGCAAAGAAACTAAGAACCTTGAAAAGAGACTTGACGAAATGCTAACAAGAATAGACAATTTAGAGAGGAATATGTTAATTGATGGAGCTGAAAAACACAACAGGAGAACTTCGCGAAGTATGCACAAGTTTTTTAACAGTCGAATTGACCAAGCAGAAGAAAGGATATCCCCGGGTGGGGAGATGTTCTCCCACCTATGGCGCGTCAGAAGGTTCAGAGAGCCCCATGCCTGTTTCTGTGCGGCCCAGACCATTCTGGCCTTCCAGTACCTGCACTCGCTCGACCTCATCCACCCCAACCTGAAGCCAGAGAACCTCCTCATCGACCAGCAGGGATACCTGCAGGTGACAGACTTCAGTCTCGCCAAGCACATGAGGCACTGCACTTGGACCCTGTGCGGGACCCCTGAGTACCTGGCCCCCGAGATCATCCTGAGCAAAGGCTACAGCAAGGCCATGGACTGGTGGGCCCTGGGGGTGCTCACCTACGAGATGGTCGTGGGCTTCCCGCCCTTCTACGCCGACCAGCGGATCCAGATCTACCAGATCCTCTCTGGGAAGGTGCGGTTCCCCTCCCACGTCAGCTCCGACCCCAAGGACCTGCTGCGGAGCCTGCTGCACGTGGACCTCACCAAGCACTTCGGGAACCTCCAGAACAGGGTCGGCGACATCAAGAACCACAAGTGGTTGGTCACAACCAACTGGATTTCCATCTATGAGAAGAAGATGGAAGCTCTCTTCATCGCAAAGTTCACGGGCCCCGGGGATGCCAGTAACTTTGACAGCTACGAGGAGGAAGAGATCCGGATCTCCATCAACGAGAAGTGTGCCAATGAGTTTTCCGAGTTTTAGGGGTGTGCTTGTGCCCCTGTGGGCTTTCTTTTCTTTTTTTTTTTTTCTCTTTGGTGGGCATGTGGCAGGGTTGGACTGAACAGCCAGAGGGCCCCAGAGTTTCTTGCATCTAGTTTCACCCCCCCACCCCACCCTCCAGGGTTGGGGTAGCAGGAAGCCCAGATATTTAGAGACACAGAAACACCAGCTGCTCCCTCACCCCCTATGCCTTCCTGGGCCCTCTGTGCTTCTCCCTTCCTCCTCCCACAGAGTCCCCCTTGCCCCAGCCCACTTCTACCTGTTTTAAACAAGTTTCTCAGCTCTATTCAAGCCAGTTCTTGCTGGTGTATCCAGGAACAGAGTGTGGAAAGAGGGGCTCAAACTTAACTCCAGCAGGGAACAGGCACCACTTGCTAAGAGAGCATGAATGAAAAGCACACCTGCCTTTCAGAGTAATCCTGCCTGGAAGCAGAGAGGTTTAGTGTCATGTTCAGTGGACTGCTTGCTAAAATTAAAAATTAAAAAAATAGAGTTCCGGTCCCGCAGAGAATGCGAAGAGAAGCAGAGCGCCGCCAGCTCCCCCTGGGCCCTCCAGGCCCTCCGGCCCGGGCTGGCGAGTGAGCTGGGGGGCCCCGGGACAGGCCATGCCCTCTGCCCTTCAGACACCGGAGGCCTCCGCTGTGACTGCGCATTCGCCTGGCCAGGCTCAGGCCTTGAAGCCGCGGTGAACCTCTATACCCCACCCCACTTCGGTGATTGATGGCGGCGGCAGCTTCTCCCAGCCAGTACCCCAGCCTGGACCCTGCTGGCCACTGGGTCTCCCGGCCCACGTGTGCCGGGCCCCGGCAGAGCCCCCGCTGAACTGCGTGGATGCAACACCTTTGGGTGGCGGCGGGAGGGGCGGACCAGGACACATGGCGGCCGCTCACCTGCTGCGCAGCGGAGGCCGGTCGGTGATAGAGGGCCTGGGAAGGCGGCCTAAGGACGCAGGCAGGCTCGGCAGCCTCTTTAGGCCACGGAGCTGTGCTGATCCGGGTCCCAGTGACCACTCTGTCCCCATTGGGCGGGAACTACTTAGTCCTGACGACAACGGACAAAGGCCTTATCAGGCCTGGGAGGTGAGTGAAGTTCCGAGCGACAACGGGTGGAATGATTAGCGGCCATTGGGGACTATTAGTCTCAAAAAAAAAAAAAAAAAAAAAAAAATGGCTGGATTGTTTCTGCTAATACAGGACAAAATTGTAAATCCATATGATAGCTATGCAGAGAGAGCAAATGAGAGGGAAATATGTTTCCATATCTTTGGTGCTACTGGAATCTGCTATATATTTAATTAAGGTGAAAAAGAGATTGGTTTTATAGATTACTTAAAAACGTGTAACTCCCAAAAACTTCACTCTGTCATCCAGGCTGGAGGGCAGTGGCACAATCTCAGCTCACTGCAACCTCTGCTTCCCGGTTCAAGTGATTCTCCTGCCTCAGCCTCCTGAGTAGCTAGGATTACAGGCGAGCACCAACAAGCTCTGCTAATTTTTTTTTTAAAGGAAGAAAAGAAAAAGAAAAAGAAAGAAAGAGAGAAAGAAGAAAAAAAGAATTAAAAAAAAAAAGAATGAAGGAGAGAAAGAAAGAGGAAGAGGAAGAGGGAGAGAGAATGGGAGTATTGCTTTATTGTCCAGGCTAGTATGCAGTCTAAAAATGGGTATTGAAAACCTCTTTTATGCCAATAATTGTGCTTAATAATGGAGACAGGAAAAAAATTGAGGGAAGAAAATAACAAACAAGCAGCCAACCAATATTTCATTTAATCCTGTGAGTAGGTGTGATGTGGTACTGATAAGAGTGTATATTTTGTGTATTTAAAGTGGAGAGTTCTATAAATGTTTATTAAGTTTACTTGTTCTGGATCTGCGTTCAAGTCCTGGATATCCTTGTTAATTTTCTGTCTCATTGATCTATTATTGATGTTGAAGTCTCCCACTATTATTGTGTGGGAGTCTAAGTCTCTTTATAAGTCTTATGTATCTGGGTGTTCCTGCACTGGGTGCGTATATATTTACAATCATTAGCTCTTCTTGTTGCATTGATCCTTTTACCATTATGTAATGTCCTTCTTTGCCTCTTTTGATCTTTGTTGCTTTGAAGTCTATTTTATCAGAAACGAGAATTGCAACTCCTGCTTTTTATTTATTTATTTATTTTTGCTTTCCATTTGGTTGGTAAATCTTTCTCCATTCCTTTGTTTTGAGTCTTTGTGTATCCTTGCATGTGAGATGGGTCTGGCTGCAGCATACAGATGGGTTTTGGCTGTGTCTTTTGATTGGGGGATTTGGTTAATTTAAATTTAGGATTAATAATAATATATGTGAGTTTAATACTGCCATTTGATGTTAACTGGCTGTTTTGCCCATTAGTTGATGTTAATTCTTCATTATGTTGATGCTCTTTACTTTTTGGTATATTTTTGGAAAGGCTGATACTGGTTGTTCCTATGTGGAATGCTTCTTTCAAAAGCTCTTGTAAAGCAGGCCTGGTGGTGATGAAATCTCTGAGTACTTGCTTGTTCACAAAATATTTTATTTTTCCTTTGCTTGTGAAGCTTAGTTTGGCTGGATATGAAATTCTGGGTTGAAAGTTCTTTTCTTTAAGGATGTTGAATATTGGCCCCCACTGTCTTCTGGCTAGTAGGGTTTCTGCTGAGAGATTTGCTGTGAGACTGATGGGCTTTCCTTTGTGGGTAACCTGACCTTTCTCTCTGGCTGCCCTTAGTATTTTCTCCTTCATTTCAACCCTGCTGAATCTGACGATTATGTACCTTGAGGTTGGTTTTCTTGAGGAATATTTTTGTGGTGTTCTCTGCATTACTTGGAGTTGAATATTGTCCTGCCTTGCTAGGTTGGGAAAGTTTTCCTGAATAATACCCTGAAAAGTATTTTCCAGCTTGGATTCATTCTCGTCATCACATTCAGGTACACCTATCAAATGTAGATTAGGTCTTTTCACATAGTCCCATATTTCTTGGAGACTTTGCTCATTCCTTTTTATCCTTTTTTCTCTAATCTTGTCTTCTCGTTTTATTTCATTGAGTTGGTCTTCGGCCTCTGATATCCTTTCTTCTGCTTGGTCAATTCAGCTGTTAAAACTTGTGCATACTTTGCGAAGTTCTCGTGTTGTGTTTTTCAGCTCCGTTAATTCACTTATATTCCTCTCTAAATTGTCTATTCTCGTTAGCATTTCATCAAACCTTTTTTCAAAGTTCTTAGTTTCTTTGCATTGGGTTAGAACAAGTTCTTTTAACTCACAGAAGTTTCCTTTCATCCACCTTTTGAAGCCTATTTCTGTTAATGGAACACACTCGTTCTCTATCAGGCCTTGTTCCCCTGTAGAGGGAGAGGTGTTCTGATTTGGGGTATTCTCAGCCTTTTTAGGCTGGTTTCTCACCTTCATTATAAATTTATCCATCTGTGGTCTTTATAATTGCCGACTACTTTCTAATTAGGTTTCTGAGTGGACGTCCAACTTGTTGATTCCCAGCGCTGGAATCTGAGCAACCCACTGCACCGGCTAAAACAGCCGCGTTAAGATTGATGGTGCTTTTCTGCCTGGGAATCTCCGGTCTGGCTTCCTTCTTGAGTCTGTCCTTCAATCAGCGGAATAGGCGACTCTGCCTTCCCAGAGCTCCAAACATTGGCCAAAAGGGAACCCAGTCCCATTTACTCTGTGTCAAGAACTGCTGCGACTCTTGTGGCCAGCAAAACCGCTGCGCCAGCCACAGGAGTTGCGCTGGCGACCCGTGGGGCTCCTCCGCTGGGAATCTCCTGGTCTGTGAGCAACAAAAATTCAACTGAAAGTGTGGTGTCCTCTTGTTCTCTGCACTTTCACTGGGAGCTACAATCCTGAGCTGCTAGTAATCAGCCATCTTGGATCTCTCTTCCTAATTTTTATATTTTTAGTAGCGACAGGGTTTTGCCAGATTGCCCAGGCTGGTCTCAAACTCCTGACCTCAAGTGATCCACCCTCCTCGGCCTTCCAAAGTGCTGGGATTACAGGTGTGAGCCACTGTGCCCAGCCCATCCATTAACCATTTATTGTCTATGATGATGTTAGTCAGGGTCCAGTCAGGAGACAGAAACCACACCAATCATTTGAACAGGGGGAACATTTTAATGGAAAGAATTGTTAACTAGTAAAAGGGATTAACTACTAAGAGGGGTAAAGCATGCTCTAAAGAATGTTGGAATAGCAGATGTAGGGAGCAGCTACTATCGTCAAGGCTGAGGAGGGTAGTCAAGTAAGGAACCCACTTGAAAGAGGACAGCCTCTCAAGATGAGCTTCAGGCTGCATTTGAGACGTGGCTGTGGCCCACTGGATGGTGAAGAATTTCACTGAGGCACTTCATTCCCACTAGAATGCTGGTGAAACTCTCTGGAAGCACTTGGGGTGCCAGCAAAACTCGCCAGGAGGTGTGCACCGGCACGTCTCCACAGGGAGCTGCCCAGTGGCCACTGTTCCATAGGAGCAAGAAGAAAAGTACAAGAACCCCAAATAAATGCCCCTTCTTCTGATAGTGTCCCTCTGGCACCCTCTACTGACAAACCTTACTTCAGGCAAGAGAGAGTGTGTGCACGGGAACTGCTCTTTGTAAAACCAGCAGATCTTATGAGACTTACTCACTACGACGAGAACAGCACAGAAAAGACCTGCCCCCATTATTCAATTACCTCCCATCGACTCCTTTCCATGACACGTGGGAATTATGGGAGCTACAATTCAAAATGAGATCTGGGTGGGGACACATCAAAACTATATCATGGGGTCTCACCCTGTTGCCCAGGCTGGTCTTGAATTCCTGGGCTTGGGCAATCCTCCTGCCTCAGCCTTCCAAAGTGCTGAAATTACAGGCATGAGCCACCACACCCAGCCTAATTATTTAGGTAGCTCTAAAGGATTATTCCAGCTTCAGAACCTCTCACAGGGTAAGCAGAGGCTTCTATTGGGAATGTCCCAACTTCTCCCTCTGCCC